AACGCCCTATGTCAGCAATTTTGAATGGAAGCACTTGTGATGGGTCGCGTTCGCATGCCAATGTCCCTCTCTCTTTCCTTCAGTGATTATGGATCATTGAACGTTACAACCAAAAACCTTTTACAGTGACATTGATCATCACAGGCGGAGATGTGGCGGAAGACAGGAGACCTCTCCTCTCTCCCTCCACTGTGGTGAGTAGGGAGACGGGGTTGCATTGCATGGGACGGATAATGCAATCCGCTTCGTCTGAGCACCGACCTATCATTTTCGTGCGTTCGGCTTACGTCACACTCGGGTCTTTGGGATGTTGTCCAACAGTGGTATGCATTCCGTCTCTTACTAACCTGAAAGCATTTATTCGTGAGGTAATCAACGTGCCCTACTTGATCCAACACCGCTCCTCACCTCACCTGGACATTTCACACTGACCATAACCACAACCCACTTTCTACTTGCCAGTACACGCTATCTCAACCGTAATAAATGAGTCCGTTTTGTGCACGGGCCAATTTCATCATGCCTGTTGTGGAGATCGTTCTTGTCTACAGTTTGGCACAAGGAGGAAGCCCTACTATTTTAGGATTCCACTGGTGAGTTGACTGCCATCAAGGGAGCAGGTACTGTACCTCCATCCCTCAACAAATAACTACGACGTCACGCCAACTCATGAGATTATTCCTGCCTCATCTGTCTGAGTCACGAAAGTATTCCTCTGGACTGCAAGGCACTGTTTTGAGCGAAGTTGGCCCTCATTGTGGTTGACACACATTCATGTATCCACGCGTATCATCATAGCCACCTTTCCTCTACTCTGTCCCATCTAGTTCAAAAGCCCACATTTGGTCACTTGTTGGAGCACCAAAAATATCATCCTATTTGTACCTTTATTCCCCTTGTCTGCACCAATTCTCGCGCACCCAACAGTCAACTCAAACGAGTATCATATGGATAGGCATCGCAGTCAGAATTGGGATCAGCGACAATTGACCGCATTGCATACGACCATGTCTTTTCCTTTGACATTATTGCACGTAGTCAAAGCAGTGCATAACATGAAGGTGAGGTTGGGTGGCGTAGCTTCCAGACCTTCATTGGCCATTTGATGCAGATTCAGCAAATGCACTGGGATCTCAGTGCAGCCACGTAATTCCTCATTCCTCATGACCGGAAAAAGTAGGGTGTTTTCCATCGCCGCTGACAAACTCGTATTAGACCAGATCCCACCCACCCGTCTATCTGCGCCATCAAATAACAAGCATTTAACAGCA